AAGGGGGGTGGGGGGGGGGGTTTCAGGACCACGAAATTCGTATTCTTTGGGGTCAATTCCCTATTCAATCCCGCGGTCCCCGACTTTGTACGACCTAAAACAACCTAGAAAAAGGCCTGGTACGGGTGGTCTGAAACACCCTGTATTGTTTGAATCTGACTTTTAATCGTGTCCTTCAGGGGCAATTAATTTTCTGAAACCCATCCGATAAAATGGACGGGTCAATATACTCTGTGTTCCTGTGTTCACCTTGCATTGTTATTTGCCCTACTTTGGAAAAGTCAGTTCTTTCCTATTCTCTGTTTTGAAAGTCTGAACTTTTTTTTTCAAATCTTCAGCATTTTTGTCAGCTGATATCGATTTTTTTTTTTGCAGTACGAAGAAAGAGAGCGTAAACGAGAAGCAGAGGAAAGAAGAAGATTTCCACTAGAGGAGAGATTGAAACAACGGATTGTAGGTCAGGAAGGCCCAATTAAAATCATTGCCTCTGGTAAGTTGAATTTTTTCATACTGTAGATATTAGATGTTTGTCCTATGCTACTTTGTCTAAACTTCATTATTACGCACTTGTTCACAGGGAAAGGGATCTTGCAGCAAAAAACTCAACACTTAGGAGTGTTCCAAAAGAGGGGCACCTAATAGTCTAGGTTTGCTTGTTTTTGCAACTTTTTCCTTTGGAATCTTGACAAATGTCTCCCGTTGTATAATCAAATTCCTTTTTTTGAACTTGACTTAGCTCAAATTATTCCTGTATGCCTCTTAGTTGTTTTGTAACTGAGCAATAGATTATTTAATCTCAGCCATGCCAACTTGAATATTCATTGAGGAAAACTAAACCCTGGTAAAATGGACAATTACAACCACGCCCAGGCCTTTTCATTCATAGATTTGGAACACTGCTTGTAGTTGTGTGACTGCACAAGATAGTTAGGACACTACACAGAATGGTCGCAGGATTACAGATAGGATTCTTACCGCGTGTTAAATATGGTCGCAGGTGTATGCTCCTTGCTGAGTTGTATTTCCTGCTCTTTGATCATGGGCAAATATTGCAGTATTTTAGTTTAGAGCTGGCCTTAAGGATTCTTCTGGCGGTCTTTATGGATTCTCATAGCCAGCTATAAGACTGTATGCATCTACACAGCCGCCTGTAAGATCCATACAGCCATGCACCAAGGAGAAACTTTCAGGGAATTTATCAGATTCCGCATTACCACTGCTTCCATGAAACATCTACTTGATGATTGAATAAGTGGACTTATCAGAAAATTTCTAGTACCCAAAATAATAGCATGCAGGAATAAAAGGGCAGCATTTCATTACCCTACACTTTCAAGGACCGAATGTCAAGTGGTCAATAGCAAGAACCATCCTTGAAAATTCACTGTGCTTCCAGGAAAAGAAGAGATTCCCGTAATCAGCATCTTTTCTCAAACTTTCCAAAATAGAAACCAAAAAACTCCAGAAAGACTGTAACTGGAACATTGTCATATATTTTTAAATAGTCAGTACAGTAAAAAAATGAGAGAAAAATCTTCTTTTTTTTTCAGCGGTTCGTAGGAAGGAAAATGGTTGGTTTGATGACGAACACCCTTTAGTTTTCTTATTTTTAGGATCGTCAGGCATTGGAAAGACTGAACTCGCAAAGCAGCTTGCTTACTACATTCACAAAAATAAACCAGAGGCGTTTATCCGTCTTGACATGTCTGAATACCAGGAAAAGCATGAGGTATGAGCTTTCAGCATTTTACGAACATTTTTTTGCCAAGAGTGTGTTCTCAGGTGCAGATTTAGGAAAGCTCCAAGGGAAGGGGGACAGTTTGAGTTAACCTAATGGTAGAAGGCACCCAACCCTTGGGAGGACACCCCCCCCCCCCCC